TGTCCTGGTCTCTGGCACTCATCCATCAGACTGTTTTCTTTTAATCCTAGTTCTTCACATTCCTTTTTATCTAAGGAATATATTCACTATCATATCATGCCTCTCAGAGCCTAAAAAGTAAATTCACTCCCACCCCCTAAAAAGCCACAGGTGATCTGTAAGTCAACCTCTTCTTCCTCTCCTCCTGGCAGTATTTTGAAGCAAAGTTCCCCCGTATTTTTGATCTTCCTATATATTTTTCAGCCAAGAAGCTTTTCTAGGCATGGACAAGATATGTCACCAGACACACAAGACCACGTGGAGAAGCCTCCAGTGGCAATTCACTCCTCCAATCTGTTGTCTCATCTCTGTCCTTCCCCATTTCCCAGTCTCTCTAGCCCACACTCCTCCAGCTCCCAGCACCCTTGGTCAGAAAAAGGAACAATATCTGAAGGAATCAAAGGAGGGTGTGCAAGGGTACCAAGGTGCATGTAGGAGTGACCTTTGTGGGAGCCTGCTGAGAACTTCAGGCAGTAAGAATGGGGGGAGGTAAAGTGACCGCTCAGCTGCAAGGCAGCCTTTCCATAGAGAAGGAAGTAAGGAGGTCTGAAGGAAGAACACTCCCTAAAATCTGGTGGGAAAGTCCTCTGAGACCCTGGTGTTCCTTGTGTTTTCACACTAAGTTTGAGCAATGTTGCAGTTCAGGTCTGTGCACATTCCATTTTTTTCCCTTTTTAAATGAGGCCTTTCACACAGCTGATGAAGAGAGACTTGGACATCCCTCAGGCTGGGAAGATCTGATTTGGGCCAGAAGGATGGGTCATCAAAGAGTCATCCAGCAACATATTTCCTAAGTGTACACCTAACTTGTAGGTACTTTAGGGTACCTACTAAATCCTTTTAGCTAAAGTACCTAAATCCTTTTACCTAGTTCAATTTTACAAAGAAGCTTTTTTACCTACAGATAGTGAGGTAAAAATTACTTAGGGCTTAAAAACCTAAAAGACAGGTAACCAGACAAGGGCTCTGTCTGCAATTGTGGTCTTGTCCTGCTCTGTGGAATGTGGGATGCATCCCAGAACTGCTGAGTGGTGACAGTGAGAGCTGTGCAGTCTGCTGGCATGGCCCTCCAGTCACCCTGAGAGCAGCCAGCTCACAGAAACCTGCTGCTGCATACCTTCTGGGGATGAAAAATGCTGCTGCAGGCTGTTTCCCACAAGAGCCCTGATTCACAGTCAGTGGGATTCCTTGCATGGGGAAGAACTTTGCATTTTGCTTAGGAAAAACAAGGAACATAAGCCTCCTATAAAGTTTTTCCCATCTAGAAACTCTGTACAAAAGTGTTAAAGTCAGCAACCAGGAAATGCCTGCATGCCTTTGCCTTGCTACCTGCAGCTAAGGAAAAGCTCATAACCTAAATATGTGACATTTCCACCTAATTTCTGAGTGCTTAAATTTATGACCAGACATGCTCCCAGCGAGCAGCAGCTGCTGACCTGGGAGCTCTGCTTCCCATCGCATCTGTCTCCTGCCTGTGGCCAGCATGCTCCATCAAGACACCAGGTTTAAAATCAAAAATCAACTCGATGGCAGAAGACAGCATTTAGATGTCTAGGAAAACCTTGAAGCCCCCTGGACTGACTCTTTTCTGTCATTTGCTAGGAACACCGAGCACTGGGTCTCCTTAGGGTTTAAAGAGTGCCAAGACCAAGGCTGATTAACTTGTACAGCCAAGCCTCCACTCCAGCGTGCTGCACCAGGATTTATCAACTTCCTGCTGCCACAACCTGGTTCTTGGAAGCTCATCTCCAGGACAGTTATTTCCTTGTGTTTGCTCCTCAGAGATTTTTAGCAACTCTGCAAACCCTTCTATATGATACCTCTTTTTTTATATGCTTGCAACACTGCAGTGCAACTACACTGCAAAGCCAAGTGACCAAATGGACATTTGCCAAGTTCTTTTAAGCAAGCAGAGGCTTTCCCCATGAAGCAAATGGGTCAGAGCAAATAGGAAAGGCAAATAATTTAGCTGAAAATAAAAGCTTTCATTGTGAGCTGCAGAGGGCAAATGCTAGACATGGCCCCCTCAGCCTTGGTGAGCTGGGTGCTGCTTTAAGCTTTTTCCAGAAGATGCTAAAAGATAGAAACTCAAATGTGTCCTTCCAGGAGCCACCTGTCCTGCCAGAAGGAGGAGTGAGCCCCCTGCAGAAGCCACCACCATGTGGTCTGCCCAACCACAGCCACCGCAGGGACCATGGGCTGTGCATCAGCTGTCACCATGTCCCCTGGCCAGGGGAGGTCTGAGGCTGGCACGTGTCAGCAGGAGACAGGAGGCAGCACTTTGTTGTATGGAAGCAGCCCAGGGTCCACATAAAGTGGGCAGGAAAGATTTTCACCAACCTTCACTGTGCAGAGGTGAGATATATGGCCTTACAAGAAAATAAACCAGGACCAAATCAGCCTGTAGCTGTTGGTGACATCACTAATGAAGCAGGACGCTGCCTCACAAAATTTGGGCTCCTGAGTGGACCCCAAGATGTGCAAGGTGTATCCGCCCTTCTGCAGGAAAGGCTCACTGCGTCTGTACCCCTGCCTTCCTTGGCACTGCCTGGGCACTGAAGCCACAGCCAGAGCTTCCACTGGGAAATAAAATAAATAAATATTGAAATTAAATTGCTAGTCAGGAGGAACACAGCCACCACTTTAGCTTCTGAACAACCATAGCACAACAGATGTTCTTGGGAGCTCCAAAATCCATCAGACTCACAACCACCTCATCCTCCTCCAGGGTTGTCAGAAACAAAGCAAACAAAGCAAGCTTTTTAAAACTGGCAAGACCTCAGTGAGGCACAGCTGACTGCCAAAATGGAGTAAGCAGGCACATACCTCATACAGATGCTCCATGCAAGACAATTCCACCTGTAGGTATCTAATTCCTTCATCATCCTCCCATCTTATCCCAAGGCATCTTTTTATCCACCAAGCAACCACCTTTCCAGAGATCTCCACTGGGCTGAGGAACCTCTGGGCTACGGACCAGCCTCAGTAACTTTCCCTACAGCTCACACATAGGTTATGAAGGGGGCTCAGCTCATTTCCCACACTGGCAGCCCCTGGAAACTCTTGAGCCAAAGCAAGGGCCCCTGTAGCACCTGTGAGCACTGCTCAGGAGGCTACAGCTGCTTCTCTAGGCTTTGATGCCTCTGCACTTATTTACACCCACAGAATAAATGGAATCTGGCCTTTCCAAGTTTTATTTCTAGAGCTATAAAATGATTTAAGCCTCCAAACATATTTATAGCAGGGAAATACTAGGTGGTACAAGAGAGTGTCCTTGGGAATTTTACTGCCTCACACCTTACGTAATTATGTAATATTCATTTGCCTAAGGCAACTCTATTGCATCCTCACCTATATTTCGCTGGTATCCAGTCAGAGTTTCTTGGGGAATCTGGTGCTGCTCAAATTAAAAGAGAACAGCAAAACTGTGCCTGATTGAAAAGGACAAAGTTGCAGCAAGGATCGAGAATGAAAGCTGGAGCCAAGGTCTTTGGCTAGTTTCTTTAATGACCTAAAGGTACATTTTTGGTCTGATGCTCTGTTCTTAGTCATTCACTTAACCTCTTGAAACATCCTTGAAATCTCCCTCAGTCTGAGAGTCACCCCCAGGCTATGCCACCTTTTTCTGGGTTTAGTTTTGCATACAGACAGAAGAGCTGTACAGCTGTGTGTGTTTGCACGGGAATTTATTTAGTTGTTGAAAAATTAGTTGTTATTGAGGTGTTAGAAATGAGGTGATATCTCAGAAAGTTAAAGTAATAAAAATACTGCAAGAATATGATACTGTTTTGCTCTAAAACCCTCAGTTACAACATCTCCTTTGGTGTGGCACTGCTGTCAAGAGTAGTGAGCCGCAACAGAGAATTTTCCTCTCAGCAGCAAAATATGTGGTCATCTGCAGCCCAGAGCAGCAGGCACTGGGTTAGTGGGCAGCTCAGTGCCTTTCACACTCAACCTATTTCTTTTGCAAATTCTCAAGTCCTGATATGTTTCCCTTCTAGGTCATTGCTGCATGAAAAGTCTCATGTAGGTGGCAAATTCAATGCTCCGTTCCTGGCACTGCCGTGGCAGGGTGCTGACTGAAGTGCCCCCACCCAGGACATGCACAGAACCCAAACCTCCTTGGAAGCAGCCCCCATCCCTGCCATATGCAGGACGACCCCATGCTGTATTTGGACCCCCTGTTGTGGTGAGTGAACCAGGCTTATGTAGCAGCAAGGCTCAGGAAAGGGGTGCATTAACTGCATCCTGGTCTGCCAGAGGGAGAAACTGAAACCTCCTAGAAAAGTAAACAAGCAGAGGCCAGTGCATCATGCAGGCCAGCCCCTGCAGAGATCACATGAATATGGGCTCATCTGTAGACCTCCAGGATGCATGGCCTGTTTCTCCACGATGCAGAACACCAGCTCCTACACAAAGACTCATGGCTGCATCTCACTGATGCCAGCTGCAGGGCCAGAGGACAAGGGCTGCTCCTGTGAGATCCCCAACAGGGAGCAAGGCAAAGGGCACTGGTGAAGTGGACCTGGCTTTGCAGAGGGACAAGTTGGTGCTTTCCCAGCTCCTGAAAACTATTGTGCAGGAAGAAAACCCAATACTGAACGTTGCACCAAACAAAAAGACAAAGTCAAGTTCCAGGAAGCTATTCTGTGGCAAAATGACCCTGCCAGGAGCATAAGGAAGGAGGAAAGAAAGGATGAGGGGTGCCTACATGGGGCTGCAGAGGAATAGTGTCTCTCCAGGCTGGGGCAGAGGAACCATTCAGGACTCACATAGGGACCAGCTCCAGTAGCTTTTGCAAGTGTTGAATGTCATTTGAGACTTGCCAAGGATGCCCACAGTGCCTCTCTTTCTGGGACCTCTCTTATTACCTCAATTTACAAACAGGCAAAGGAAAATAACCATCACTTCCCCCTCCCCCTCCCAGCAAAACCCTGCTCAGCTGCATTTTAGCAAAGAGCTTTTCCAGTATTAAAAGTACACTTTATTTTCTGTACAATTCTCATCCAAATCTCCAGGTGTGGAAATGTCCACTGTGTCCCTGGAAAAAGTTGCAGATTGTTCTGTGGCCATGAGACTCCGTCCAGAACTGTCCACGAGGGGCACAAAGCCAGGACCACCAAAATCAAGTGCTGATGCTTTCTAGGTGCAGGGAGGAGAGCAGGAAGGAGAGGGAGGGGAAGGCAGTCCTGCTCTGCCTTGGAGCTGCGAGTGACCAGAGCCTTCCCTGGGTGGCAGAAGAGACAGCCTCAAGTTCACGTCATCGTTCGTGCTTAGTGTGGGAGTCGTTGCGTTCAACCGTCACGCCGTTCCCGTTCCGCGTCACCTCCTTCCTGCTCCAGTCCTTTTCCAGGTAAAATTCAGCGAGCACGGGGCAGTGCTCTGAAGCCACGCCGCCCCAGGACCAGTTATCGGGGATCCATGGGTTTGTAAGCCCTTCTCGCACAACAGCCCAGTGGCCTGCATCAAAGAGAGTCACAGGGAAAACGTTAAGTGATATTGGCCAAACCGGAGATGCGAGGCTAACCCAACTGAAGGTTGCACCACTTCACTCAAGCAACTCTACCTGTGAAAACCTTTTTCAAGCTCCGACTGATCCAGATGTTATCCAGCGACTTGGACCCTTGTGGGTTCTTTGTGCTGATGTTGGTGAAGGTGCTGGAAGGGACCAGGTGGTGAAACTTCTCCTTCCTCAGGATGTCATGGTCACTGCTGTCTGGGGCCTGGTTAAAATCTCCAAGGATTATTACATCTTTTTCTCCTAGAAAGCATGAAAAATAGAAAAGAATGGGAGGAATAGATATCCATCACTCAAGGGCAAGAGGATTAATGGAAAGAGGAAAAATACAAATACTGAATAAACAAAGTGATTGTACTCTGAACTCCCAAAAGAAATGCTGTTTAAAGCCTTTTTCACTGACTATTTACTCATGACCATTCTCTTCATGACAATAAAACCAGCCAGTATACATTTGATGCTTGTTTTTAAATATAATCTCATTTCTTATAGAATCATAGAAAATGCAGAGTTGGAAGGGACTCATAAGGGTCATCAAGTCCAACTCTTGGTCCTGCTCAGGACACCCCAAGAGTCACATCATATGCCTAAGAGTACTGTCAAAGCACTTATTGGACACAGGCAGGCTTTGTGCTGTGATCATTTCTCTGGGGAGTCTGTCCCCAGCCTCTCTGGGTGAGGAACTTCTTCCTAATACCCAACCTAAACCTCCTCTGAATTCAGCTTCAGACCATTCCCGCAGGTCCTGTCACTGGGCACAAAAGTGAAGATACCAGTACATGCCCCTCCTCTTCCCCTCTTGAGGATGCTGAAGATCACAATGAGATCTCCTCTCAGTCTCCTCCAGGCTGAACAGACCAAGTGACCTCAGCCACTCCTCATACAGCTTCCCCTCAAGGCCCTTCACCATCCTCATGGCCTCTCCTCTGGACACTCTCTAACAGCTTAAAGTTTTTTATATTGTGTCACCCAAAACTGCCCCCAGCACTCGAGGTGAGGCAGCCCCAGCTCAGAGCAGGACAATCCCCTCCCTTGCCCAGCTGGTGATGCTGTCCCTGATGAAGGCAGGACACACTTGGCCCTCCTGGCTGCCAGGGCACTGCTGACTCATGTTCCACTTGCCATGGACCAGAACCCCCAGGATCCTTTCCACAGCACGGCTTTCCAGCCTCTCATTCCCCAGTCTGTGCACACAGCCAGGGTTGCCCCATCCCAGGTGCACAATCCGGAGCTTGCCCTTGTTAAACTTCATGACTGGTGAGTTTTCCATCTCTCCAATTTGAAGTCTCTCTGCAGGACCTGTCTGCCCTCAAGGGAGTTGGCAGCTTCTCACAATTTAGTGTTGTTTTCAAACTTAGTACTCCTTCAAGTCCCATGTCCATTACCAAAGATGTTGAAGAGAACTGGGCCAAGGATGGAGCCCTGCAGAATCCCACTAGTGACCAGATGCCAGCCTGATGTCACCCATTCACTGTAATTTTTTGTGCCTGATCTGTGACCTATTTGCTCACCCATCATGTAACATGGTTATCCAGCTGTGTGCTGGATGTTTTGTCCAGAAAGATACTGTGAGAGACAGTACCAACAGCTTTAGTGAAGCCCAAATATTGGTGCATTTTCCTTACTACTCCTTTAGTGACAAACTCAGAGACAAGCAAGTTTTAGTCTCAGGGGTTTTTATAAATCTGTGTCTTTGTAATATTTTCTTTTTAATTTTTTTGTTTGGTTTGGTTTTTTTTTTTCTGCAAGAAACATCTACTGGCTTATGTAGACATTTTTTAAAATAGATTTTCTTTAAGAGTCAAGGACACTTTTGTGAGGAACCCAGAAAGACACAGCCTTATGCTGGTATATACCACAGTGCCCAAAGTGCAGTGCTCATTATTCTAACCTCTGCATTAAAAAAAATCCCAAGGAACAGGACAAAGGAGCAGTCTGCAAGCCTGCAGACAATTAATTGAGAAACCACACAGGCACTACCTGACTACAGCAACTTTCTTTTGCCTGGCTGACTGAAGGGATACTGCTCAACTTGGAACAGAAAATTACTTCTGATACATTTTGTTTCCAACCCTAATGAGGGAGAATAGAAACTCCAGACCCTAATTTCATATCCACAATGTGTGCTCTCCTAGCCCCAAAGATGTGGATGCAGACATCCCACCTGTGCCCTGGGATAAAAGGACAAAGCACACGCCTCTGTGCCCATCTCAAACCACTGCCAGAAATGTCTGAGAAGACAAAGGAGGAATGGTGACAGCTGACCAGAGATGCTTCCATGTCACTGCTTGCCACTGGAGAAAGAGGCTGAAGGAGGCACAAACGCAGAAAAAAACTTATCCCAAAGCGGACTTCAGAGGAGAGATCTATGAAGAGCCTATAAGCTTTTTCTTTCCTGGGATTGGTGTGAGAAGGGATGGAGTGGACACTTTCTCTACCATACTCAGCGCTCTGGATAAACCTCCTCGTTTTTTTGCTGTTGCTGTAGAAGTCGCCATCCAGGAGAGGGAGCACAAGCTCAACAAAATCTATTCCACTCCTGTCTTGCAGTGCAGGAACGATGAATAGGGAAAGGCCAAGAGAGCAAGCAAGACTGAGGGCATATGACTTACAAATACTTCAAAACATGGTGCTTGCTAAGATGCAGAGGGGCAATGAATAGTTAGTGAAATTATTTATGGTTTCTCTACCCTTTGTAAGTCACAAATCACATTGTAAATAACAGGAAGTTTAAGTATTATTCTATAAAGCATTCATGACAGCAGTCTTCCCACCTTTGAAGGAAAAAAACCCACCTGAATCTGAACCTTAGTCATTTTAAGCTACATCAGAACCCAAAAGAAAAATAAGTCCTTGTCTAATGGGATGATTGTGCCTGCTATGAGCTGGTGGTTGTGCATGCATCTCATAACAAAGATCATGATCTTTGCTTACAAGATCTCTTGCTTGCCAGGACCAAGAAGCTTGAAATGTAACTTTGGTGCTCCAGTGCTAACACTTGCTCGACAGCCCAGGCAGCACTTGGCTCCTTCCATGCTTTCATCTCCAACCTATCTGGGAAAAGACCACTACAGAAACCTCTGGAGCACATCCTTGGTGTTTAAAAATGACAGACAAGCTGGGATCTTAATAACAGTACCTTGATTATGCACAAAACCTATTCTCTCCTAAACTACTCATGCTTCTTTTAGCAAACATTGAAGACTACCTCCCTGACATGAAAAGTCTATGAAAAAAACCCCACCTGACAAGTGACAATTTTTACTGACTGAAATTTTTAACTGTCCATTCTGGAGAGGTTAGAAATAGCAGAGGATAAAAGATCCAACACTTGGATGCATGCTTGGAGGGAGGTAAGAAGTCAGCCTGCAGCTGACTGCCCAGAGAGGGAATCACTATATTCTTCACCCATTTAAACTTTTGGATGCAGATTAACTAAGCATAAAATCATAACAAAGCATAAAGTTGACAGACAGAATGGGCTGGAGCATGTTAAAGAACTGAAACCCAAATTGCCATTGGGGAGAGAAAGGAGTGCTTTTGGTTCCCCTCTGACAGGAGCTTCTGGAGCTCCTCAGACTACAAAAGAGTGGGGAATACATCAGGCAGCCTTCTGCTAAGCAAGGAAGAGCAAGCAACCAGTTTTCTAGACAGCCACCAACTTCATTTCCCCTTGTCCTGGCTCATTCTCAGCCCTGCCACCTCCTGCAACAACAATATCATGCACGCCAGCACTGCAGTTTTGTGTCTTGTCTTGAGCCAAACAGACCAGCCACGAGAGGGAAGGAAGTGAACCAGCCTGGATCCTCCCAAGTGCGTGACTCTGTCTAACTGGGCACTCCTGGGTCTCTCAGCAGAGGCAGGGAGCAGAGCTGCCCACAGCAGCTCCAGCTCTCAGGGGTCTCATGGGTAAGCTCCAATGGCTCTCAGCCAAACTTAGCAAAAGTTCTGGAAGAAATCATGTCCTTGCTCATAATGATAACTGGTCAGAAACTGCAATCATGATGCCCACAGTTACAATCAGATGGAGAGAAAAACAGAAAATTAAGACAATGCTACTGGTGCTGTGCTGTGATTTTCCTCTTTTGGAGGAAATTAGTTTAAGACTGGTGGGGCTTGATTCTGCTCCTCAGGAGCCTGAGGCTCCTCGGCCAAGGCAATCTGGTCCTCCTCCTCCTCCAACAGACAGAGCAGCAGGAGCTCTCTTAACAACCAATCTTCTGCTGCAAAGGTCCCTGACACAGACTGCACTGTCCACAAGGACCCAGAGCCTCCATCTGTTGGGACGTGGTGGCATAAAGCCCCCAGCAGCCAGGCACGTGTCCTGCTCATGACCTCTCAGCAGTGCTCACACACACATTCACACCCTCTGGGCCCCAACCAACCATGCCCTTGTCAATGGAGAACTCCTCAGGTGAAAAAATAAGTCTGGTCTGTTTGCAAATCTTCAAATTCACTAAAGCACTGGTGAATTTTGGCAGTGCCTATGGGTGGCTCTTGGCCAGCAAAGCAAAGCAGAACCTTGACTCAGCCCTCTGCTGCAGTGGCTGAGCTCTGGTCTGCCAAGACAATCAGCTGAGGGAATGACAGTGCCTGCAGAAGGTCTGCAGTGTTGAAATCTGCCTTTCTGCAGGAACTGGGAAACCCTCCTTTGCTTCATGGCAGGCCAAGGGGACATCTGTAGGACACACTCCCTGATTTTACCATGCCCTGAATGATTTCCCTCATGAATTAAACAGACTCTTAAATGCTCAAATTCTTCCTGGACAGAGTGACACACATATGATGAGAAGGATGTGATGTTACATTGGCTACTAAGAAGTCTTACCAGGAGTCGTGCAAGCCCAGTGCTTGGTGCATGGGTAACCCATGGAATATGGCCAAGCCACGTGGGAGAAGGTATCACAAAATTGCAGAATGGTTTGTGCTGGAAAGGACCTTTAAAGATCACCCCCTGCCATGGGTAGGGACACCTCCCACTAGACCAGGTCAACTTGACCTTGAATACAGCAAAGGAGAAGCATCCACAGCTGCTCTGGGCAACTTGCACCAGTGCTTCACCACCCTCACAATAAAGAATTTCTTCCTAATATCTAATCTAAACCTACCATCTTTCAGTTTAAAGGCCATTCCCCCTTGTTCCATCACTACATGTTCTCGTAAAAAAGTCCCTCTTCAGCTCTCTCATAGGCTTTCAGGTGCTGGAAGACTGCTATAAGATAAGTCTTCTTCAGACTGAACAACCTCAGATACCTCAGCCTTTTTTTACAGGAGTGGTGTTCTAGCCCTCTGATCATCTTCACAACCCTTCTGTGGACTTGTTCTAACAGGTCCCTGTCCTTCCTGTGTTGGGGATCCCAGAGCTGGATGCAGCTCTCCAGGTGTGGTCACTTGGGAGCAGATCAGGGAGGCAGAATCCCCTCCCTCGCCCTGCTGCCCATGCTGCTCTGGATGCAGCCCAGGATGAGGCTGACTGTGGGTTGTAAGTGCACATGGCTGGGTCATTTCCAGCCTCTCATCCACCAGCACTTGCAATTGTTCTCCTCAGGACTCTCTCAATCCACCCAGCACCCTGGTTCTTGGGTCCAGCCACTACCACGACATCCAGGATAACATCTGTGTGCTGTCCATGGTCACCACACTGGAGACAAACTGGTGGAGTTCTTGAGAGAAGACAGAAGAGCTGCTGCAAAGAGTTAGCTATGAGCAGCCACTGCATCTCTCCAGTACTGATGAAAGGTAAAAAAGAGAGGGAAAAAGGAACCTGGACCCACCAATCTAATGGGTGAAATATGGGGATACTATGCCCTTCATTAAGGGAGGCTGTGGATAGTAAACAATGTTCCTCAAATGCCCACATGCCTCTTAGTAAGAATAAAAGATAATAGAATAGGCGTCTGCTAGCAAAATGGGAACAGAAACTCAAATTTACTGCAGTACCCACAGACAAATCAGTTCTTACTGCCCATACTTTGTGGACTAATTTGGAAGAAATTGAAGGATGATGGTAATTTTAAGCATAAAATTCATTTTGGCAGGGCAATTCAGTACTTCAAAGCCACATGTGTGCACTACCATTTCCTTAGAAGACCACACCTGCATCCCACAAGTTTGGAGGAATCTGAATTTCTTCTTTTGTGAAAGACTAAGCCAGGAACAAGCATGCTCCAGGAACGTGCCTACCATATGAAAACTGAAACATGAAATAAAGAGAACACCAACAGTCTAAATTTAGATGCAGTGGAAGTGCAGCTCAGTTGACTTCAGAAGAGCTACACATTTATCCCATGTTTCAGTTCAGTCTCTGGGGATTGAACAAATGATCCCTCTGTTTACCTTCATCCTTTCCAATTTTAAAGTACGTGGACAAATACTTAAATCAGTAGCACTTAAAATAGCTCTGAGTGGCTTCTGCAGCTCAGAAGGAACAACAATAGAACACTCAGAAAAACTGCAAATACCTCTTGAGTAATACAAGAGGGATATTAATGCTTCCAAGTGACCAACCTTGCTGAGCTGGGCCAAGTTGAAAATCATCAAGCGAATAACCTTGCAAGCCTTTCACATCTTTCTTAAGCAGTAAACAAAGGGCTAGGCTTTTTCTGTTCCTACAATATCAGCAACGTTTAGGATCTAAACCACTTTGTTCTGCTTCACCGGAAGTGAAACATAATTTGCAAGCTTCAAAGAAAAAAGCAAATTCACAGAAATGAAGTAAAGAAATTCAGCTGCCTATTTCATTGCTCAAGCTCAGGTCTAAATTCTGACATCATTCCATCCTGGTGTAAAGCCAGAGCAACTTATCTGAAATCAACAAAATTATTCTACATATTACATCCAGGTACCAAAGCAGGATTTGGTCTCTTTTCTCATTAGCAGACATCTGCAAATTTGCATTGGGCTTTCCAAAGAACTTCCAGTTATCCAAAAATTAAATATATAGAACGTATTTCTCTTGGAAGAAAAAAATAATTAAGCTTTGCTCTGATATCAGGTAGGTGTAATTTCCACAAAGCACTTAAAATAGGGTCTCAACTCTAGTGTCTTTTCTTTCCTTTGGCAGAACTTGCTGTTACAGCAGCATAAAACAGAAGGAACTTAATTTGAAAAAATGGTGTCAAAGGCATCAGGATCTCCTGTGCCGTTTGTGTTAATTAGGAAAGACCGTAATACAATGAGCAAGGGAAAAACACATTTGTCACACCATGCATCATGCAAACATGGGTAAAGACAAGGGGCTGATAAGGGTATTTCTGAAATGCTCACTGAGACAAAGTTTAGTCTTTTAAAAATTAGTTTGACTTAGACAGTGTGCACATGATAGCTGGCAGGAAAAACCTTGCCTTACCTTTCAGAGTCTCCTGCAAACTCTGCGCACAGGCTGCCAGTTTGTGACTGTCGTGGTTCTTGCCGGTGTTCTCCCCTGCTGAGGGTGGCAAGGCCAGGTGAAGGTTAACCATGGTCAGATCATTCATTCCAACCTGGGGGGGCAGGAGGAGAAATCAATGCCGTGCACGTGGGGAATGGAAAGGCACAACGCAAAACCACACGTGCCAGTTCCCAGTACTTTCAGTAGTAAATCTGGGGCAGTAGGACTCACACTGCTGGATATGTGTCTTGGTGTGTCTCAGTGCAGGGAGGAGGAGGAGGGAGGCATCTGCATTTTGCAGCTTTGTCTGCAGTAACCTCATACCCTCTCAGTTCTGGGGAAACTGGTTTGCATTAGCAAACAGCTTCCTTTCACCACAGTTGCAGAAGGAAGTCAGCTGCTTATGAAAATCAGTTTATGCAAAACCAGTTGTTAATAAGCTACAAATAATGTCATGGTCATTACAAGGGCTAATTACTACTGTCTTGTGATTAGCCCCAGCTTGTCAAAGAGACTAACCAAGAAAATTAATATACCTTGAAAGGAGCTGTTGGCTCCCTGCAATCTCCTGTTCACCTCCTGGGAATCACTTAGACCTATTTGTATGATCAATTAATTACTAATATTTTATTTATTAATAATTGTCTGATTAATGCTTCTCTCAAAGCATTACCAGAGATGTCAAGGTCCCTAAACTGGACCCTCTCATTACAGCCTGTGTGGAGATGGGCTCTCTGCTTATATGTTTGCTTCAGCATATGCTCAAGAACTGGTTCCAAAAGTGATGATGTTCTTTTAGATAGGTTTGGCCCTAGTGAAAAAGCTTTAAAATGGAAATTCTGAAGTGTGACAGCAACATAAGATAGGCCAGCCCAAGTCTCACTGGAGCACTGTGCCTTTTATACACACATACTCGTACATACACATATATATATAATCCATCTCCATTCTCCCTGCACTCATCCCTCTTTATGGCACTGATAAGAATCCCAGCCCCGTGGCCTGGCTGCTATTGAGGATCCACTGACCCTCAGGTTCTCAAATACGCCCTTGCAGCAGGGTTTGCTCCCTCAGGAGCAAGGGAAAGGACTGACTGTGGTGAACCACCACATGTATTAAGGTGCATTAAGCACCTATCATAATCTAGCCATAAAACAGTAATGAGAAGGGTCAGAGGCACATGCAAATTTTTATCTGAGAAGGTTGTGTCTCTTTTCATCTTAGCCAAATTATTTTTATTAAATTATTTTTATTTTATTACTGATTATTATTATAAATATAATATTTATTTAGTAGTAATTATTATTTATTATATTTTTTATTTATTTGTTATTATTTAAAATACTTTATTACTTAAATTATATTAATAATGTATTTCTTTATAATAAATTTATTTATTTATTAAATTATTTTTATTAATTCTTTTTAGTAAAAGTTCTGCAAAGCTGGACTGGCACTGTGGCAGTCACCTTGAAATGTGCAAGATACGGATGAGGATATGAATGCCTCCCGTTGCCATTAGTCTGTGCAGTCTCCTGAGATGAGGCATCTTTCAGCTCAATACCAGCTGTTGTATCCCAGAGGAAGCCAGAATATTCAACTCCCTAGAATTAAAAAAGAAAAAGGGAAATGCCATTCACAAAATGGTAAAAACAAAACATTCTGCCCAAATGTAGCCCCACACATACTTACATCTATATCTATATCTAGGTGTGGTGTCTGCTGAGGGCAGGAAGCCAAATTTGATGTGCCCATGCATAAAGGAGAAACAGCTTCCTGGGCTATCAGAGGAAGATACAGAGGACCAGTGGATAGGCTTCTTCATCTCACCCCTGCCAAAACTCCCACCAGATGTGGGAGGAATGCTTCCTGGGAAGCTCCACTGACTTCACCGAAGAGTGAGTGTGCCAAGCTGAAACACACATCACTCTGCTACTCAACAGCCCCTCACACCTGCACACTGGCTATTGGACACCCAGTTAATTGCAGCACTGCTCCAGTAAAGCCAAGGATTTAATAATCTGTTTTATCTTCTACAGGCAGAGCATGTTCAGGAGCACTGCAGGGGTGAAGGACGCTGCCTCTCGCGTGCGTGTTTGGGTTGATGAGGTCCTCTTTCCTCCTACTCCAGACAAGGCACTGGATACCTCTGAGCATGGTCAGGAACAAGGCAGCTCATTACCCACATGATTAGTTGTCTAGCCATGAGTTTGGTGCTTTGAGGTCTCACTGGGTGACTGCTGGGGCTTGCAGTAGATGGTGCTGTGCACAGCTGCTCCTGCTCTCCAGGCTTGACACCATCTCACAGACTTTTTTCACCCGCAAGCTAAAAATAACCAGGCACCTTCAGTCTCTTGGCCTGAAATCTGGTCTAGACCTCTCAGCCCTGTCAATTTTTCTGTCTCTTTTCCAGCTTGAATGTTTCATGCTCAGCTCTGCTCCTTTCAGCTCTGCTTCTATGATCCTGAATGGGTTTTTTTTTTTGATTACTTCATGACGTGGAATTGGCATTTTCAGAAAGCTGTCTACAATGGTCTCACCAGCAGCAGTATCTAATTCAAAGACTGTCAGCCTCTTCTCTCATCACCCAGACATCATTTTCCTTGGCATCATTTAAACCCACTTCCCTTAGCAAATCACAGTTAAATCCATTGCAAGGAAGAGTTTTTTCTCCATGTCAGGTGCAATAAAAAAGTGTTAACTGCTCCAATGATTTCCCAAGAGCCTTGAAAGGATTAAGGTTGGTTAAAATTCTTTGGTAGCTCTTTTGATAACTCACCTTTAAAATACTGACAAAAGTATTCCGCAAGTAGGGAGCCTAAGGTCTAAAAACTGCTACGGGAAAAGGTGTGGAAGAATAAAACTTTGAAACAGCTGTTGGCTATTTCCAGGCTCCAGACTTCATATCAACATGGCAGTCACAAGTCATTGCCTGGTTGAAATGCACAGAATGTATGGAAGTACCAGCCAAAAGCACCATCCACCATTTTGGGTTATTTAGCCCTACAGCCCATCCCAAAATCAGCTGGTGTCAAAGATGCTGTGTTCTTGGGGTTACACTGCATTACCTCACTGCATTTGTTTACACAGTTCTCAAACCTCATAGACCCACTAACTAGCCCCAGGAATGGAAGAGACTTTTTATTTTAGTGGAGGGTTCCCAGCTCAGCCAGATTTCTGTTAAAGCAGCTAAAAGGAAGAGTCAAGTAGATTCAATTTCTATTCTTAGTTTAGCTGCACATTTCTCCCCTAATTTTGGGAACCACTCATCCTTATATCCCTATCTGTAAAACAAGGTGAATGATTATTTTTATTTACTCAGCCTGTAGTCAAAGCTGTCATTGTTATCTTTGGAAGTACAGCTCAAGAAAGAACTGACTAAAGACTCTGAATTTAACATAGGAATTCTGAGATATTTATTAATAGTTCCTGGTAAAAAAAGAAAAAGTGGAGGGAACAACTTTGACAGTTTCACACAACTATTTATATTCAGTGTTTTAATGATCTGGTCTAACAAGAGATCCCAAAGGGAAACTCCAGCCAGGAATAAAAATGTCCTGAAGGGCATTTGCACTCTGCACCACAATTAAGTGTGAATTGTAGAAAACTATAGACACATTCAGACACTGTATCTTTCCAGACCCTTCTTGACCCCCTGTGTCTGTATAGCTAGAGTACAATCCTTGCACTGCTCAGATGGTGGGTTTTGGTTTGTTTGGGTTTATTTTTTCCCTCATTCTTGGGTTTTTCCCAGAAGGGCAATAAATAAAAGGAGCTGCACCTCCCAAAACATCAGTCCAAAACCAGTGAATGGTGATGCAACTGATTTGGAAAAGCCAAAATAAAGAAGTGTGGGTTCTACGCAGCATGGCTATAGGACAGAACTGCACTGTTGTTCAGTAACAACAGTGCTCAGAATAGATCATTCTGGATCAATAGATTGTTGAAGACTGCCCCATGTGCTGACAGGCACTACTTGTTACATGACAGGTCTCAGATCCTGCTTCTACCCACAACAACATCCACACTGCAATAACTGCACCACGAGAATGATCCTATTCAGCATCAACAGGTTCAAGGAAGACACTGCTCTGAAAATTCATTGGCACCCTTAAGGGTGAAAAAGAGGGATTTCCCTTGGGAGAAACTGCTTTTGGGCACTGCTAGGGCTGTCCAGCCCAGTGCAGCTGTACCTTGAATACTGTCAAGGGTAGGCAGGTGCAGCTGTCACCACCTTAAAAAATCTGTACCTCCCTGCAGTACATATATATATATATATATATATATATATATATATATATATA